ACTTCTAACTATTTACACGTCTGACATTACTGTACAGGAAAGTGATGCATTGTATAATATTTAATGTTGAATGCTTTATCGTATCGTTTTAGTAAAATCTAGTACTTCTAACTATTTACACTTCTGACATTACTGTACAGGAAAGTGATGCATTGTATAATATTTAATGTTGCATGCTTTACCGTATTGTTTTGGTAAAATCTAGTACTTCTAACTATTTACACGTCTGACATTACTGTACAGGAAAGTGATGCATTGTATAATATTTAATGTTGTATGCTTGTTTTAGTAAAAACTAGTACTTCTAACTATTTACACGTCTGACATTACTGTACAGGAAAGTGATGCATTTTATAATATTTAATGCTGTATGCTTTATCTTATCGTTTTAGTAAAAACTAGTACTTCTAACTATTTACACGTCTGATATTACTGTACAGAAAAGTGATGTATTGTATAATATTTAATGTTGTATGCTTTATCGAATCGGACTAAAATCAAATCGATAGATTTTTAGTTTTAAGATCGGAAAATATATTTAACGTATGGTTTATAGATATTTTCCGATAGTATATAATATAATATCGGAACCATATTTAGCGTATATATAAGCCGTATTTAATATATACGTTAAATATGTTATTTACACATTAAACCCTTATTTCAAAACTACTGGATTTATCGACTTGAGTTTGGATTTTATTGGACTTAGCATAAACAAACAAATAAGCAAAGACTAATTTGTCTCAGTAAAAAATCATACTTCTTGGCATAAAACCTTTAAACTATTAGTCCTGGTTTGATTTTATCTGATTCAACTTGAAAAGTACACCAAGAACATTCTCTCATTATGTTTATGTGATTATAGACAAGTTATGTTTCTCTCCTCTTTAATCTTCTACTGGATCATTATAGTCAAGAAGGTTTCCAAATTTTATAAATGAAGAGAACAATACCTAATGACTCTATTGCACCCAAACCACAACATTTGAAACAGTTTTCCAACTTTCCTCATATTATTTTTGCATTCAACTACTTAGGAATGTATCTCAAAATTCAAGGCCGCATTATATAAAATTCAAATAAGTTAACATGGATCTTAGAATGATTTTGTTTTTGTGCTAGACCTCTGAGTGTTACTTCCGGCTTTTTTCCAAACTTTTCCTGCTTAAGAAAAACTGGTTTTCCCCATATTATTCAATGTCCGACTAAGACGTAGCAGAGAAATATTTCCGTAGTTTTATATGAAGCTCAACGCTTGGATGGCGAAAATAAAATCTGCATTTGTAGCGAATTTCATACCAGCTAATGTTTAAACGAATACAATAAATGGGCTGAAAATTTACGCGAAATCTCAGCTTTCAATAATATATGGTAAAATTTTAAAAAAAACTCATATTTTCTTGTATGAGGCATGTTCTTCAACTACTACGGAATTTCCTCTTTTTTGAAAAATAAGTTTTTCTCGTGGTAGCAAAGGTAAAGTCTTAAATATCTTAATAAATAAGTGCAAGATTTTTTGTTGTTGCAGTTCATTTACGTCGCACTAGAGCTGCGCAATGGGCTATTGGCGACAGTCTGGGAAACATCCCTGAGAAAGATCGGAAGCCGTGCCATCACAATTTTGATCCTCTGCAGAGGGTATGGCACCTCTGCTTCGGTAGCCCGACGACCTGCACGCGAAGTCGAGCATTTTACGGTAGAACAGTTTAACGAGGATCAGTACCTCACACACTCGGTCCCTACTCGGACTAATCAAAAAATCACTTGGCTTAAATCATGAACCAGAATTACGCAGCCTACCGCAAAATCCAATACATTTGATATCTTTCTGGATTAGTATTGATTTGGGTCAAAAGATAGCTAAAATTAATACGGATCTTTCTATTGTAAGAGCCCTTGCTCTCGAAGTATTAAACATTTTTTTACCCTGAATCAGAGTAGTCCCGCATCTTTACCGATGGATCTCTCCTGTCTGATAGCCCTAACACAGGTGTCGGAGTTATCCCACACAGTTTTTCTTTCCACGTCCGTATGGGACTAGGGAACTGCGTTTGACGGAGAAATTGCTGCGAACCACAAAGCTCTGTCCTGGCTGCAATGTCACGTCGAAAAATTCCCAAGATCTGTTATCCTCATCGATTCAAGAGCTGCTCAGTTGGCTATCGTTTGTGACAATAATCCCAGAAGATGGGACATATTGGATAGCCGTTATCATCTTAAAATCGTAGCATCACTTGAAAAAGCTATAGTACTACAGGGGGTTCCTGCCCACTGGGGAGTTCCAGGCCGGGAGAAAGTGGACTTTCTGGCTAAAAAGCGTGCCTTAATTACGCAAAGAATTTTTCGTCCTAGATGCCCTTCCATACTATTAAAAATCTTATTAAAATATCTATTAAAGACAGTGCTCAGGAAAACCTCCATAACTGTGTTACCTAAAAGTCCTGGAATAATGCCATCCCAAATATATGTAATGGCCCAGGGCGTAGATCAGTGGCTGAATTTAAAAGTTACAGTGGTATTTAAAGGTTACATTTTCTTTCCACCTGTTGAACGGAAAACTTTACAAGTGCAAAAGGTTTCCGAATTTCTCTCTTTTGGGTCAATTTTGCCCTCCAAAGAAACTTTAAATTAGCTGTGAGAAGCTCTAAATACAATCACTTCAAAATGGACTACAGATTACTAATTAAATACTTACGCAAAATATTTAGAAAAGGTACCATAAATGAAATAAATGGGGTCATTATACATCCCATTATGAGGTATAGTCGGTGATATCTCGTATTGCACGAGGGCATCCATTAGGGCCAAACATCTAAAAGTCAACACGGATCGCTTCAAATATTCCTAAAAATGTAATGAAAATATACTTAAAAAGCAGTTCGTAAAAAGCGGGAGTATTACATATGTTACCGGCAAAGTTAACATATGTTACCGGCCTCTGTGTAGGGTAAACCGGGCAAATGTATACCGGGCAATGGCACTGAACCTTAAAAAAACATCAGTGTAGGGTATACCGGGCAGTGACACTTGACCTTTAAAAAAACATCAGTGTGGGGAGTACCGGGCAGTGGCACTGAACCTTTAAAAAAGCCTCAGTGTAGGGTAAACCGGGCAGATGTACACCGGGCAATGGCACTGAACCTTAAAAAAACATCAATGTAGGGTATACCGGGCAGTTTCACTTAACTAGACCTAGTATATATTTCGGACATTTACCAAAGGTCTAGTCATACTAGGTCTAGTTAAGTGCCATTGCCCGGCATACATTTGCCCGGTATACCCTACACTGATGTTTTTTAAGGTCAAGTGCCACTGCCCGGTATATCCAACACTGATGTTTTTTTAAGGTTCAGTGCCATTGCCCGGTATACCCTACACTGATGTTTTTTTAAGATCAAGTGCCATTGCCCGGTTATATTTGCCCGATACTCCAAACACTGATGTTTCTTCTAATCTATCGTTAGTAAATATTAAAATATCGAATAAATGTAATTATATCCACGAATAAATTAATATGAAATCGGATGTAATAAATATTTCGGACATTCACCAAAGCGACTATGTGATTGTCAACATTCACCGGTGAAAGTCAACAATCACCGATTTCGCTCATTCACAGTAACATGCGCATCATTTACATAATAACCTCATCAGGATGTTTATTTCATACTTTGCCTAAATAGCATCTGGCATTGTATGGAATGCCTAGGCATTCTATACAATGCCTAGGCAAAGTATGTAATACTTTTCACATTTCATACTTTGCCTAAAAAGTTAGGCATTCTATACAATGCCTAGTCATTCTATACAATGCCGGCGTTTCATACTTTACCGGTGACATATAGATCTAAACTTTAGGCTCAGACAACAATTAAATATAAATTTAATCAAATTTATCATCATTAGAATGTTTTAAGGAAATTTATAATTTTATCTTGTAATAGAAATTTTCCATAAATACAGATTTTTTTTACTAAAATGGCCATTTAAAATGTTAACTGAACCCAATGGCAGTTTGTTTTTCGCTGCTCAGATCTAGTCCTGGCTCAGATCTATATTTTATATTACACGTTATCACGGAACACGGAAAATGAAATACTGGACAGATGGTATTATGTATATTTTCCTAGGTAGTCACTAGGTCAGCGGTTCCCGAATAGTGTTCCGGGGAAGACTAGGGTTCCTTGGAAGAGTTAAATGGGTTACGTGAGTTAGTATTTTCATAATCAATCGTGAGTTTTGAAATCTCCAATTATATTTAGATTCAACTTATAATTCATAATGTGTCTTTCGATTGTCTTTATGAAAATAATGTCTATATGAAATATAAATATATATTATTGTAAGATGCCAATGAAATAAAAATTACTTCTTTTTATAAGAAAATATAATTTTTCTAACAATATAATTGAAAAAATTATGTTAAGAACAAGCATTTTTGAAATATTACATTAGTATTTCCAATTACGCTTTTCATATCGAAATAAAATAAAAAAAATTAATAAAGAAATATCTTTCCTTGACGTCTTTTCAACGTATTAAGCAGTTATTGTAAGTTTTCATTTCGAAATAAACCATAATTCGGCTTCTTTTATTAACTTTCAGTTTATGCATGTACTCCAAAGACAAATTTATGGCTAGAGAGACAAGATATACTAACACTAAGACTGCAAATTTAACTGTAGGTATAAAACTTAATTTATGATTAGTAATGATAAAACGATGAAAACTCCTTCCGCTAATTAAATATTTAAAAAAAATTAATTAAATTATTAACTAATCACTAATTAAATTATTTAAAATGTCGTGGTTCCACCGAAAAAAAGGTTGATTAATAAATAAAAGATCATAAAGTTGAAATTAACAAATATCGATTATTTGATAACTTCAACAATATAGTGATACTACATATGTAATATTTTACTGAGTGAAAGATTTTAAACATTTTAATTTAGGGTTTCGATGCATCGCTAAATTTAACGATAAAAGCAATGCTTTTATTTTAATAAAAATAGATTAAAGTAATAACTTTAAGCGTATTTATCCAAAATTAAATTAAGTTTCCAACTCATCAAGTTCGTATGAAATATTGTTCCAACAATATGCCGCACTCAAGAAACAGCTGTTGGTGCAGCACACTCAGGTGTCAACGTTAATACATAAAAGTCATATACCAACCATATTCTTCAATTCTTCATTGGAGGGAGGATAGCGAACTAATGCCATATTTGGTCTTGGAAGATCGTCAGGAACATAACGAAGATTTACTGCTAATGATTTCATGTATACTAAATATTGATTAACTCTTTCGCATGGCATTTTCTCAACATTCATGTCCACAATAAATGCCTGCTCTATTCTGTCGGGCTGAAATATAAAATTCATAAAATATAAAATTCGCTGCACTGCCATAGGTACCTGTTTTATAGGGTGGGCCACATTCACATATCGCACAATAGAGAACAACACACAGAGAGAAACATCCATGTCCTGAGCGGGATTCAAACCCGCAGTCACTGGCTTCGCAGTCAGGCACGCTAACCACTCCACCATCTGGCTGGCATTTTGAGATAACAAAACTAATTTTAGAAGTGATTTTAAACTGTCCAAATCACTTTTTACCATTTTTTTGCATAATATAGACAGTTTTTCTCTCGTAAATTCATTTTAATAGCAACTATTTATCAAATATTAAGTTCATTTACAACAGGAATTTAATGACACAATAAACAAAGAAAAGGGAACAAATATTTATAATTATGTCTTTCAATATAATAAAAACCCACGATCCAGTTCAGCTATCTGTTTTGTGTGCGATGCTTTGCTCTATGAATTAATAACCAGCTTTCTAACACTTTATTTTAAGCAGTAAGAGATGTGATTGTACATGCGTCAGTGGAACAATTAGAAACCATAACTGTCAAAGGGTTTCTTCTGTGAATATGAATGAAATTATTATGCATTACCATTTTCTGATAAGTAATATTTGCATTACACCTGCAAATTTCAACCACTTGATTTAAATTTAACTTTAATTTTTTTTTATATTTAAAGTAGTAATGTTATTTTTGATCTCTCTCGCATCTTTCTGAGGTTGGTTTTGTTGGTACGTTTGTGACAACTCACTACCCAACACTAACCAAGCGCCAGAACCCCCGTCCTTCAAGACTTTTTCTTTACAGCCTTAGGAATGTCACGTTAGTTCGTCCCCGAGTAGACGACGTAAGCACACTGCCTGAACTAGTACCACTTTCTTAAACTTCTTGACTTTTTTTGCTAACAACCCTTTTTTCGACTGCGCCACAGGAGCCTTCGCGCTTGTGAAAAAATATTCTTTAATTTTGCTTCTTATGTTTCTGACTAACATACTTGCAGATTTTCTAATACTAATTCAAAATCATCCCGGTCATAAAATGTCATTAATCAAAAAATCATTTAAACCTACCTGCTGTAAGGCAGCTTGGATAGCAGTCATTCCACCCATATTATGACCCACTAAAACAGCTCGATACACCTCTATTTTATCCATGAAGTGATATAGATCATAAATATTGTTATCAAAATTGGAATCCATTGAGTGTTCACTTTCGCCATGATTTCTAGCATCATAAGTATAAACCTAAAATATGTATTTCATTATATATATATATACATATACTCATAAATATACACATACATACACACATATACATATACATATACATATACATATACATATATATATATATATATATAAAGTTTTTTTTTATGCAAGTATAAAGGTATATGATGTTTTAGTAATAATTAAGAAGATAAGGTAAAAGAAATTGGGAACTACTACTTAATACTAATTATTTACATAAAAGATTTTGCATCATCAACCGATTTTTTTAAAAGACATTAATTTTTATAATTTACCTTAAAATAATTTTTTTCATCTTTCATACCAGAGTTAAATTTAAATCATTTTTATGGGGTTAAAGGGATAGAAAAACAGAAAAAAATTTAAATTATCAATCTTTTTTCTTGAATTGGTAATTGAATACGTTTTCACTGAAAAATTAAAAGATGCAAAGAAAGTGTTTCACTAAACTGATTCATTGATTTACAACCATATAAAGAAAGCTGTACAAGTGAGAAGCTTATAAAACTTTTCGCGATAGTCTTGTATAACTAAAAGAAATTCATTAAAATTTCACCGATACAATGAAAATAAATTTCCCCAAAACACTTCAGTGACCTTAAGTGAGCGGGGTTTTAACAAATTTTCATCTAAATAGTTCAAAGTGCATTCTTGTGAGAAGTAATATAAGGTATTTAAATATTAATCACATGTAAAACTTGTTTTTACTCCAAATAATTAAGTAACTATGGAAACATTTAAATAGTAAGCGACAAGCATACCTTCCTCTTTGTTACGTCAGCCAAAAGTTGAGGTATAGCTTTCCAATTTTCCTTGTTCTCCATCAAACCATGCAAAAGAATGTAAGGGCATATAGAACAACTTCCTCCAGAAGCTTCAAACACTCGATGGGCAATCTTGATTGGTTGATAATATCTATAAGAAATTTTTTAATTGTAGATGTAAGTAGGGGTTTGTCATAAATGACATTGCAGTGGATTTGGATTTTAAATTATTGCATTGAAAATTTATACAATGATAAACATTTCACTTTGACGTTAACTTGCAAGCAAAGCTTCAATTTGGAGAAATCTGTAAGCCTTAATCATCCATTTAAGCTATTTTAATCATAGTGTTTGCACTCAGCGTTAAATTTTCTGCTCGTATAGCCAAAAGTACATAAAACTTACAAAGAAATGCTCAGATTATCATTTAGTGACTTCATCCACAGAGTGATGAAAAATCAAAATTTATTCAAATAAAAGTTATTCAATGTATGGATTTTTGTATAGACTGTTCATAATATGCAGTTTTAAATTATTATAAGTGAAATTATTCATGTTAGGGGTCGAAAATTAATATTTAACAGAGGAAAACACGAAAACGCTATGAAAGTCTGACAAATCCCATAGAAGGAAAGAAAGTGTAATAAACACCAAAATTGGTTTGATTGTGAGTGGAACAAAGCATGAAATAAAAGAGACTATTGGAAACAACTTCAAATTTCAACTACAAATTAAGCATCTTTCAGTGCCTTATTAGTTCTAACTTCCTCTACGGTAATGGGGTATCGCTTTTCTTTTATCCTGATTAAAATTATAAATTGCAACTTAGAGTGGACTTAGAGTTTATATCTAGTTTTCATTTTTGATAAGGATTCCAAAAACAAACATTAAAGGCATTCTTTAAGGAAAATGTTTAAAACTTTAATCTCAAGAAATCCAGTCCAAAAGTTGTACATCACCAATAAATTTTTCCCATGAAAAGTTCTTCAATTATCGCAATTGCCAAATAAATATTCTGAACATAAAATCAAGTAAGCTAGCATTTTTAAAACTCTAAATAATCTTAAACTTTTGATGCAAAAATACCTCACAATGATGGCATTCAAATTATTTAAGAAACAGTGTGCTTACGTATTTTCAGGAAAATTTCAATATTTTTCATGCATGCTCGTATTTAATTAAAAATGAATGTATCGCCACAAAAGCGAATAAAGGAACATTTACTTTTTCTTTTGCTGAATGATAAGATTATTCGTATGCATGGCAGTATAAAACAATAGAAATTCGTTGTCCCAAAGATTAAAATTCATAAGCTTGGTTGACATTGTGAAATCTATTTAAATTTCATAAATGAATTTATTAAACATCTCTATAACGAAATTTAGTTTAAGAAAAGGGAAATTTCAGGTACTGGTGCACGCATAGCGTCTGACTCCTGGTACTAGTACCTCACCAACGGTCACTCTCCCTACTTGTTAATTTTTGTCATGGATTTATAAGTTCATAGGATCTATGTATAGAAGAATGGTTTTTCAAATCAGGTACTTTTCAAAATAACATCGTAAGAGCCGTGGTGGCCCTGGGGGCAGACCGTTAGCCCCTCAATGACATGAGCAGGTTCGAATACCATCTTGGCTGGTTGATACGAATTCTGTTCGCATCAACCTCAGGGCTGACGTAAAATATTCTCAGGTTTAGACGGATCATGGGTTGGAATCTCCTTGTCCTCGAGCTAACCATGGACGATTTTCATGGTTTTCCTCTCCATGCAACGCAAATGAGGATTCACTCCATTAAAAAGTCCTCCAAGAAGACAAATTTCTCCTAATACTAAATAATATTGAAAAAAATATTTGAATAAATTATTCTACTGTAGTCAAATCAAATCAAATAATTTTGACAATTCTGGTGTTTTATTTAAAAACAAATTCTTACCTCTCAAAGAGTTGTTTCGAGTTGCTCTCAAAAGTTTGAATCTGAACCTTGACTTAAAGTATTAAGGAAAACAATAAAATTCGTACCTTTTAAAAACACAATAAATTAAAAAAATAATGCGATTGATGTTATTTTTGTTTATTTAAAATTGAAACTTAATCAAATTAGTTCCAGGTAATTATCAATAATGAGCAATTTATTATTTTTCTGTTTATTTATTTTTTTTTTTTTTTTTAATTTAAGGATGATAAAATAAGATTTTCNTTTTTTTTTTTTTTTTTACATTTAAATATCTATTTAGATCGATGAGTTTATTGTTTTGCTCGTGTTCATTAAAAGGGGCATATATTACTTTTCCCAATTTTCTTTCTTTAAGTTCTTACAGTTCAATTATACGTCCCATAAATATTAACGTTGTACGCATTGTAATTTTCAAGCAATGAAGTAAAGTATAATTTAGAGAACTTAAAACACATTTAAAAAACGTAGTATTGTTTACTCTGACATGATACAAATCTAAATTGAAATAAAATGCAAACATAACTTTGGAAATTGCTTATCGTATAAGAAAACTTTTCTTACCTGGACATCTTTATGAGATGATACTTGTAATGTTTGCCGAAAATAAGCTAAGATCACAGCTTTTCATGCAAAAGGAAAAGTATTACTGGATTAAAAGTCGAGATCGTGTGGAAAAAAACGTGTTTATAATGTTCATTGGTACAACATACATTTGCAGGCTTGTGTGCTCAATTAAGGCTTATAAACCGTTGTTAAGTAGATGGACAGATAGCTCAATACAGATAAGGACATCACAAAGAATGCATTGAGCGTTCGGGCGGGATTCGAACCCGCCACCTCCACGATTAACAGAGCGTTTGGCGGGCGATACCTCTCGGCCAAGGAGGCCTCAAAAACCGTTTTATTGTATTGTTACATATAAATATGAAGACTTGTATAGTCATTGAAAAGACGGCTTATAAGCTCTTTACAAAAAAAAACTATCATCAAGGATAAAGTAGGCAGACAGCCTTAGTGGTGCGCTTCTCTCTTTTATTATAGTTACAAAGCTAATTGCATATTTAAGGATGCTAAAGAAATTACGCATTTTCACTTAAAAATGTTTTACGCAAATATATATAAAAACATTTTGTAGTAAGTGCATTGCGCTAAATATACGTACGTGGACTTACAAAATGCTACGAGAAAGGCCTCTCAATTATCTTGAAGTCTCCATTGCCTCTATTTCACCTAACTTTTGACAACGTGGAGGTAGAGGGTTCGATTCTCGTAGCAACTCTGGAGGCATAAACCATTTATCTCTGATTTCTTCCATATTTTTATAGTTTACCAGCCATCATTTGTACTGAGAGCCAAAACACTTTATATTTAAACTAATTTATAAATCTGCGTTCTTTTCCGATATAGTGCTGAGGTTGCAGATTAGATTTCCACAATAACTTTAATTTCATCATTCGTTAGATGAAACTCTGTGATACATGATCGTTAATTTGACGAGGACATATAAGCTGTTCGAATGCCAGCAAATTTGAGCATGTTTCTATGTATATGTTCTATGTTGTTGTTGCTGTTGTTAATTTACGTCGCACTAGAGCTGCACAATGGGCTATTGGCGACGGTCTGGGAAACATCCCTGAGGATGATCCTACAACATGCCAT